CCCACTGACACTGTCCACTCCTGCTTCCTCTGGGTGCCCCCTTAGCAAGCAGTGTGTTATGAGGACACCCATGCTGGCGCTCTCCTGAACTGGGCTATGTACATCTATAGACATACACACAGTGCTGGTAAGCCACCAGCCCTAGATGTATATGTGTATTTCTGGTCATTGTATTTGGTGCAGTGCTATTGCAGTACTTACCCGTGAAACTTAATTATTGAATATGTAAAGATCTCCTGTACATACACAGAAGATTGAACATCTACTTAAAACTATATTAGCTAGCTTCAAACTCTCCAACAGTTCCAAAACACCATAAGGGGCAACTTGTGCTACCTCAGTTCTTTTAAAAAAAACAGAATCTAAATGACACAGGTCTGATAGTCTTTTTTATTAGATATGTTCACAAATGCTACTATACAATCAACTTTATGTGGGCAGAGAGAAGAATGGAGGTATCGGTGAATCTTGGAAGGAAGTTAATGTGCTTGTTTTACTAAAGAAGTAGATCATTTTTCCCTTTGAACTTTGGCTGGGTCATTGTAGGGCTTCTGGTTCATTTCTGCCCACCTCAAGTTATACTTTCTCATTTATCCCCAAGCCCTACTCCACAGAATCGACTGTTTCCATGCACTACGCTGATGGTGGCCAACAAGTCTGAAATGATTGTATGCATATTGGAATACCTACTGTTTCCTTCCTCTCTCAAATGTTACTCCTACTATTCCTCTAACCAGCAGGGGCTCTGGCTCTATCTTCTTCTTACACTGAATGATGCAGAATTTGACTATTTATGCAATTCTATGTCAAGATGGCTGCCCAGAGCTCACAGGATTTTGGTATCCATTAGGATTGCTATCCTCACCAAGATGGCTGCCTGGAGCCTTTAGCAGGAGACAATTTAATATTCAATGCACTCCTGCTTGCCTGAAGAAATGACTCAGCGCCACCTTCAACCTGCACCTGCATGCATATGGTTTTGACACTATCCATTTTTTCTGAATTCTGTTTATGTGTACATATGATGGAGAAAACAGAATGTAGATAATATATCAATGTTATCCACAGGACTGAATTTAATAGGATTATGTTCATTGAACACAATAAGATTGTGTTTTTGTATTAATAATTTTATAGCTCTGCAATCATTGCATATATTTAACCTCTTCAGCCCTAAGCCTCCTATTGTGACACTTCTCTCCTTCATGTAAAAATCAGATTTTTTTTTGCTAGAAAATTACTTAAACCCCCTACTAACATTATATATTTTTTTATTTAAGTAGAGGCCCTATAGATTAAAATGGTGGGTTTTGCAATTTTTTATGTCTCAAGGTATTTGCACAGCTGTTTTTCAAATGCAATTTTTTTTTTTAAAAAATGCACTTTATATCAGTATATAAAAGATGATGTTATGCCGAGTAAATACTGTATATATATATATATGTATATATATATATATATATATACAGTTGCAAGAAAAAGTATGTGAACCCCTTGGGATTACGTGGAGTTTTGCATGAATTGGGCATAAAATGTGCTCTGAACGTCATCTAAGTCACAACAATAGAAGAACACAGTCTGCTGAACATAATACTACACAAACATTAGATGTTGCCATGGTTTAATTGCACATAACATGTAAACATTCACAGTGCAGGGTGGAAAAAGTATGTGAACCTTTGGACTTAATAACTGGTTGACCCTCCTTTGGCAGCAATAACCTCAACCAAATGTTTCCTGTAGTTGCAGATCAGACCTGCACAATGATCTGGAGTCATTTTGGACCACTCCTCTTCACAAAACTGTTTCAGTGTAGCAATATTCTTGGGATGTCTGGTGTGAATCGCTCTCTTAAGGTCATGCCACAGCATTTCAATCGGGTTGAGGTCAGGACTCTGACTGGGCCACTCCAGAAGGCGTATTCTGTGCTGTTGCAGCCATTGTTTTGTTGAATGACTTGTATGCTTTGGGTCATTGTCCTCTTGCATCACCCATCCTCTGCGGAGCTTCAGTTGGCGGACAGATGGTCATATACGTTTTCCTGCAAAATGTCTTGATAAACTCTGGAATTCATTTTCCCATCAATGACAACAATCTGTCCAGGCCCTGAGGCAGCAAAGCAGCCCCAGACCATGATGCTCCCTCCGCCATGTTTCACAGTGGGGATGAGGTTTTGATGTTGGTGTGCTGGGCCTTTTTTTCTCCACACATAGTGTTGTGTGTTCTTCCCAAACAACTCAATCTTGGTTTCATCTGTCCACAGTATATTTTGCCAGTAGTACTGTGGAACATCCAGGTGCTCTTTTGCAAACTTCAAACGTGCTGCAATATTCTTTTTGGACAGCAATGGCTTCCTCCGTGGTGTCCTCCCATGTACTCCATTCTTGTTTAATCTTTTCCTTATTGTAGATGTGTCAACAAAAATGTTAGCATGTGCCACAGATTTCTGTAGATCTTTAGCTGACACTCTGGGATTCTTCTTTACCTCATGCAGCATTCTGCGCTGTGCTCTTGCAGTCATTTTTACAGGACGACCACGCCTAGGGAGAGTAGCAACAGTGCTAAACTTTCTCCATTTGTAGACAGTCTGTCTTACCGTGGACACATGAACATCAAGGCTTTTGGGGATACTTTTGTAACCCTTTCCAGCTTCATGCAAGTCAACAATTCTTGATAGTAGGTCTTCTGAGAGCTCTTTTCTGCGAGGCATGGTTCACATCAGACAGTGCTTCTTGAAACCAGTAAACCCAAAACAGGTGTGTGTTTTTTAAGGGCAGGACAGCTGTCAGCAACACATCCAATATCATCACACTGATTGGAGTCAAGGTTGGCTCACTCCTGGCTCCAATTAGCTCTGGGAGAAGTCATTAAGCTAGGGCCTCACATACTTTTTCCTCCCTGCACTGTGAATGTTTACATGTTATGTGCAATTAAACCATGGCAACATCTAATGTTTGTGTAGTATTATGTTCAGCAGACTGTGTTCTTCTATTGTTGTGACTTAGATGACGTTCAGAGCACATTTTATGCCCAATTCATGCAAAACTCCATGTAATCCCAAGGGGTTCACATACTTTTTCTTGCAACTGTATATATGTAGCATGTCACACTGTAAAATTGCCCATGCTTGTGGAATGGCAACAAACTATGGTACCTAAAAATCTCCAGAGGCAACGCTTTAAAAGCCTTTACAGAATAACAGGTTAGAGTTACACACAAGGTGTGGCGATAGAATTATTACTCTCACTACAGCATTTAGGGTGATACTTCACATGTATGGAACATGTTTGGAGTGCATGACCTATGTATCTGCTTGCCTTTGCACGCAAGCATGAGGGCAAGGGGACACTTTACATTTTTTTTTAGTTTTTATTATTTACTTTATTTTTTTTTACACTGTCTTTTTATTTAATTTTTTTTTTACTTTATGGCTATTACAAAGGATGAACAACATTCCTTGTGATAGCTGGAGCTGTGACAGGTCTTGTTTATGGAGAGATCTGGTGTCTGTTAGATCCCAGATCTCTCCTTTGCCCTTAAAAGCATCTGATCAAACCAAGATCAGTTTAATATGATGATTTCACAAGCCAGCAATGGCTTATCCTGGCAAAACAAGAAGTGACAAAACACTCATTGCTTCCATGTTCTTATACTATAGACGTTCTGGTCCTCGAGCATTTCTATGGCTTCAGTCCCAGGCACCCTGGTGGAATGGGAGAGCCCTGAAAGGCAGTGGAAGGCTAGGAGGGGGGCCTTTTGCTGCCGGTAAAATGGATCCAGGGACTAATTAGCCATTAGGATCACTTTTACATTGCAGAGCAGTCCTACAGAAAAAAAAGATACCAGGATGATGCCTGTGGCTGCAGGCAGCATCACGGTATACGCACGTCAACCTGGATGTACAGGTACATCACGGAAGCTGAAATTGTTTAACCCTTCGTGCTGGCGCCTCCCGGCCCTTTAAGGGTTTCAGAAGCCGGGAGGCAGGGCGGGGTTTAGGGTCATGTGACCGCCGTAACACGCCGTCAGGGCGATAACATGATCAGGAAAGGTCCCGATCGAAAGAGGAGATCGGGACCTTTCCGTGAGTACCGGACATGTGTGCTGGAAGTGCAAAGGGCGCACGCTCTCAGCACATATGTTCTTTTGTAATAGAGCGCAAATGTGCAGCTACTCGACGTTTAGGCCCAGACGCCAGGAGGCCGCACATTTGTGTTGCGTGAAGAGGTTAAACAAATGGACTTTATCTGTCAGCTGCTTCTATTGTTTTTTCATGGGGTGTGTGTTTCATTGTCATGGGCTAATGTTGGCTTAAAATTAAAAGTAACATATGCCACGTTATCTTTAAAAGGTGTGGAGATGCAACATGCTTTAGTATCTACAGGTATATAAAGGAGGCTAAATACTAAACTCAGTTTGTCCATCAATAATCAATTCTTCAAAGAGAGCTGTATTGACTCTTCTTTCTGGGAATCACATCTCATCTGCTTTAATCCAGTTCAGTCAAAAAGTGGCCTCTGTAGGATGTTGTTTTACAAAAAGACTACTCAGTGGAAGGTGTATCTTTATTTAGAGAAGCATGGGAACTAATATTTTAAAGCCATGAAAGACTTCTTTGCCAAAGTGTTTTGTTTGCACCATGATAATGAGGTCCTTTATGGCAGAAAGCACTGCATAAATCCCTTAAAGACCAGTTTCCTTTACCTACTTTATGCATTTTATAATAATTTGTATTAGTCTTAAGTAGAAATGCTTTATTATATTTTGTAAAATGCACGATTGAAACAAAGATGCCCTTTTATGTTTTATGGCCCTGATGAAAGAGTGTTCCTATGACCCCTGAAAATACGTTGACTCATTTATGGATTTTTAATAAAGAAATTCTACTATCCATCTTTTGCCCTTATTTATAAAAATGTATTGGGTCACAGAGTCAGTGTCAGGATCAGGATGATTCCAGCATTTATTGTGCTCTTTATCAGGGGTCGACTTACAACTCATGGGGCCCCCGAGCAATAGGGGATCATGGAGCCCCTGTGTCCTTGCCCAAACTCAAAAAGCCTATGAAAAAGGTACCAGGGGCATCTCATGGGGCCCCCTATTGACCCCGGGCCCTCGGGCAGTGCCCGAGTTTCCAAATGGTCAGTCCGCCCCTGCTCCTTATTTCTTAACAGGCAAGTAGCCAGTGAAGTCAAAGTACTCATCTCCTATGAGAATGGGGGACTCCAAGTATTTTGCTGATTACAGTTTGGACACTGTATGTTGTGGTAGTTCCCTGAATACAGGAATGCTGTCTATACAGCAATAGTGACAACAAGACCTGGGTCACCAGGGTGGGCTAACATGGGAGCTGAACTGTGCACACACAATACCTGAGTATGGGCCATGGCAGTGTCCCATTCTTGCTGATACCCTGTCCCAGAGGACACATGGCCACTATAGAGTTGAACAGTAGATTCCTCATTCCGCTCTGTATTCTCAGACTGCCTCTGTCCCCTGTCCTTCAGCTGTATCACAATCACCAGGGCTAGAAGCTGCTGGATGGGACCCCACAGGTGGGGGTGGAGATTGATGCCAGGCACTGGGGCAGTTCATACCAGAGGAGATGGGGCTGTGTGGTGCTCATTCATGTCCACAACATTGCAACAACAGGTGTCCCCAAGACCATTCACTTCTCCCGTGATCATCCCCCCTGCCCTCCTCTGTGACAGCCAACATCTGTAAATAAACATTAAGCCACTCTGTTCACCTTCTGCAATGCAGTGCTGTGGCCCAGTTTCTAACAGGTCATGATCTGGTACCAGTCTGCAGCCTAAGGGTTGGGAACCCCTGCCCTAAAAGGACAAAGAAGATCACAGCAGCTGACGAAGAAGGGTAACTTCTTACAAAGTGTGTGCGCAGGGAGTGCAAGAGCCACGGTTTTAGGAGGAGAAAATGCAATGCCAAATCTAGCCTAAGGGATGCCAAGAGCTGGGTGTTGGCTACTCCAAATGGAAGAAGTTGCAGGATGAGGAATAGGGACAGGGTCTATCATGACACTAGGTGAGAATTACAGTACCTCACAAGCAGGGGCGGACTGACAACTCATGGGGCCCCGGGCAATAGGGGATCATGGGGTCCCTGTGTCCTTGCCCAAACTCAAAAAAGCCTATGAAAAAGGTACTAGGGGCATCTCATGGGGCCCCCTACTGACCCCGGGCCGTGCCCAAGTTTCTAAATGGTCAGTCCACCCCTGCTCACAAAGTAGATTGCAGAGTATGGGGGAAGTTATTTGCATACCCCATGCTTTTCTGCATTTCCTAATAATGAGGAATATGTGAAGTGCCTCAAATAAATTGTATATTATTCTATTTCGACAGGTAATATATGCATTTAAAATCAGTGCTAAATGTACAAAGGTATACTGTATGTTGCTGTTTTGGTGTAGCTATAGATAAGCTTAACATTTATGGGTAATATTCATAACAATTTCTCTGGTAACAAGTTGTATTTTAAAAGATTTGTATAAACATACCAAAATGTATTCCCAAACCTCCCTCTCCCCCTCTAGAGCATGTCCCAGCATTAATTTTTCTCTTTTACCTTGCTCCTGTAGTGAGAAATGGTTTTTATTATTCCCTGTGACATTGCCACTAGACTTAGAAAATCTTTGCGGGAGCAGCTGCTAATAAGTCAGTTGCTCTTGCCATAGGTGTGCCCCCATAACTATATCTCCCAAAAGCCTTTTCCTTACAGTGTGTGGATATGCAGCAGCACTATTTTGCTAAGAAAGAAATCACTGTATGCAGAACATGGAGACAGAACTCAGTAAGCACTGACAACACTGCTTGGAATTTCATTGTAGCAAATCAGTGTGGCAAAAGTTTAGAGTTGTCATCTTACTACAGAAAATTAAAGCAGAGCTTTACTCATAACAACTTGATACAAAATAATGTTCTTTCGCGAGGAACATACATTTCACATTATTAATTATACTACCAAAATTAGTGTGTGCTGTAAATTGCCTCCAGCATTGCTCCTGTTTCTTCTTGCCGGAGGCTGCCATGTTGCTGAAGCCCAGAGCCCCTGAACAGCAGTAAATCATAAAGCGGAACTAAACCCATCCATTTTAATGCATTCAAAAAACAGTTACATTCTCTGCATGCTGGGAATGCTAACTGTCACATTTGCTTGTGTTCTCAACCAAAACTGTTAAACCATCAAATGGCTGGAGTCATAACTAATCACATGTGCAGCACCACAGCCATTGCAGATCAAAGAGAAGCAGCCTCCTTTGCTGTAAAGGATAGGAAGGTTTAGTTCTGCTTCAAGGCTGTCAGCAGATTGGCCTCTACAAATTCGACAGTGCCTAAACATTGAAAGCAACTGAGCATGTGCAGAGCTGGGTGAGACAGCTTATTACTGGATCCCAAACCGTATAGGCACTTGTTTTTAATGTTTTACACAGTGTGACAGTAGGGCGATCTGTCACCCAGGATTCTCAACGAGGCAGGTTGAGGGGCTCCAGGGTAAGTGTTTGATACGGAGGAAAGTGGCTTTTCACTTTCCTCCTTTGTTTGTAAGGTCTGTTTTGGGATCTGGAGCCTGGAGATTTCAAAGAGATCTGGGAGGGATGAAATCTCCAATCCTGGGACCAGGTTTTGGGATAGGCCAGGAGACTGATTGCACAGGTGTGTGCAGGCCTTTAGATAGAGTCAGGACCAGAGTTCTGGGCTCCACCCCGGCAGATAGGAGTCAGGAGGGCTCCACCCCGGCAGATAGGAGTCAGGAGGGCTCCACCCCGGCAGATAGGAGTCAGGAGGGATCCACCAAGGAGAGTTGGAAGCCAAAAGCGGCAAGGAGCTGCTTGGTAGTAGCTATGTGCTAGTGGCCAGCTGTGTGCAAGGGCCATGGTTTTTGAAAGGGTCTGCAGGAGTCAGACGTAAGCCTGAAGAGGAAGGCCAGTGGAAGATTGTATATCTGAGAGAGCCAGGAGGCTGAATTTTGTTTATGTGGATGATCGATACCCCTGTGTGGGAAACTTCTGTTTTGAACTTTCATTTAAATAAAAGTGGGCTAAAAAAGGCCTTAAAAAAGAAAGCGAGTAGCTGTGTGCGTTTAAAAGCTCTACCACTTTGAAGCGAGTTCCCACAACAGCCATACCTGCAATAGGGGCCAACCTGAACTGGTCTAGCAGAATTTTCTGACTAACGTTCCACTTTAAGAGCACATTGGAATTCTGTCAGAATTACCTGGTATTTTGTCTATTTTCAGTATTTTTGGGAAATTGTACATGTAATGCAGACATTTACTACATATGTTTTTTTTCCCCAGTAATACACTTACACTTATACAGGCAAGCATCTGAAAAACATATATATGACTCACCAATAGATTGTAATACTTTAGACATGGGCCTTGCTTTCCTACCGCTAATCCATGTTAAAGTAGAGGGTGAAGCTAGCTATAGGGGATTAATGTAAAGAAAAAAAGCTTAATCTCCACAAGCTTATACCATGGCTGTTGACATTTAAACTGATTAGCCCAGAAAACATCTTTATTGCAAAGTTCTACCCTGAGGGAAGGAGAGCCGCTGAGCTGGCAAGTATGGGTGGGTGGCTGGAAGAAAAAACCCTTAATAACCATTTTGTTGAAATCTTCCCCATTCGTTGACATGAAGCCTAATAATGATGGTATTATATTAAAAAAAAAACCTTTCCATCAGTGTATCTAACAAATGCTAATGCTAATGTAAACTTGCTGGGGTGCAATGGAGACAAGAATAGCGTTCATATTTAATTAAGGCCTGCACGGTGAAACAGCTGTGCATCTTTTCCCTTCAATTATTATTATTTTCTGGCTCTTATGCAAAAATGTGATGCTGTAGTCGCTCATTCCTATTAACAATGGAAGTTGCACTTAAGCCTTCCAAGCTCATCTTTCAGCATTTGGCATAACAGTAATGGTCTGTGCTGTAGCATCAGTGCCTACCACATGTAATGTAAAACTGGAGTTAATGCCCAACAAATTTGAGCTTCAAAAATAATAAATATGCTGTGGATAGAAACATGCTTGTTTCTGCTGTTTGAATTTGAATGCACCAACAGTTTTAGATCTGTGAACTATAAAAGCCTATAAATAACATCAGCCCATTTGTAAATTGAACATGGCCATTGCACATAATGCAGTTCCAACCACTAGATTATACATGTACTGATTGGAAATTGATGATTGGCTGACTTTTTTTAATTTTGAAGTATACCAACACAACCTATCATCATCCCTACTCTACATAGGCAAAAAGTATATTATATAAACTCTAGCCAATGAGTGCCATGATCTTCTTTTTCTGTGAGAAAAATTGGTTGAAAAAAGATTGAATTGCATTAAAATTGCCATCTGTATGGCTGGCATTGGTTGAACCCAGAGATTATACAACAAAACCAAGAAATATTCGGTATCGAGAAAGTCTATGTACCGGTATATCAGCCACAACTCTTACATTCTTCAAGCTTTCAAAAAAGTACAAATCAAACTTACAGCAGGTATGCTTAAGGGTCACCATATTCATTACGATTTGACCATCCAACCAATTCCTGCACATAGCATCAAATACAGTGGCCTTATTTAGGCTTTAAAGTGGAACTAAACCCTCCTATCCGTTTAAACCAAAGAAACGTCTATCTCAGCCTGTTTTTGATCTGCAACTTCCATGTTCCTACACATGTGATTAGTTATGATACCTGCCTTTTGATGGTTTGACAGTTTGGTTGAGAACATAACCAAATGTGACAGTTAGCATTCCCAGCATGCCAATATTTTAACTGTTTTTTGAAACCGTTAAATCGATGGGTTTAGTTCCACTTAAAGCGGAATGAAGCCCTCCTATCTTTTACAACCAAGGAAGCTGCCATCTTAGCCTCTGTTTGATCTTCATCTGCCACAATGCTGCACATGTGATTAGTTAGGACACCAGCCATTTGATGGTTTGACAGTTTTGTTGAGAACATAATCAAATGTGACAGTTGGCATTCCCAGAGTGCCGAGATTTTAACGTTTTTTTTTTTTTTTACCGTTAAATCGATGGGTTTAGTTCCACTTTAATAGGCCCTAAAAGGCGGAACTAAGCCCTCCGATCTTTTACAACCAAGGAAGCTGCCACCTTAGCCTCTGTTTGATCTTCATCTGCCACAATGCTTCACATGTGATCAGTTAGCACACCAGCCATTTGATGGTTTGACAGTTTGGTTGAGAACATAACCAAATGTGACAGTTAGTATTCCCAGCATGCCAAGATTTTAACTGTTTTTTGAAACCGTTAAATCGATGGGTTTAGTTCCACTTTTTAATAGGCCCTTAAAGCAATACTAAGCCCTCCTATCTTTTTCAGCCAAGGAAGCTGTCATCTTAGCCTCTGTTTGATCTTCAACTGCCATGATGCTGCACATGTGATCCGTTAGGACACCAGCTATTTGATGGTTTGACAGTTTGGTTGAGAACATAACCAAATGTGACAGTTAGCATTCCCAGCATGCTGAGATTTTAACTGTTTTTTTAAACTGTTAAATTGATGGGTTTAGTTCCACTTTAATAGGCCCTTAAAGCAGTACTAAGCCCTCCCTATCTTTTTCAGCCAAGAAAGCTGCCATCTTAGCCTCTGTTTGATCTTCATCTTCCACAATGCTGCACATGTAATCAGTTAGGATACCAGTTATTTGATGGTTTGACAGTTTGGTTGAGAACATAACCAAATGTGACAGTTAGCATTCCCAGCATGCCGAGATTTTAACTGTTTTTTGAAACTGTTAAATCGATGGGTTTAGTTCCACTTTAATAGGCCCTTAAAGCAGTACTAAGCCCTCCTATCTTTTTCAGCCAAGGAAGCTGCCATCTTAGCCTCTGTTTGCTCTTCAACTGCCATGATGCTGCACATGTGATCCGTTAGGACACCAGCCCTTTGATGGTTTGACAGTTTGGTTCAGAGCACAAGCAAATGAGACACAGTTACATTCTTGGCTGTAACTGTTTTTGGAAACTGTTAAATTGATGGGATTAGTTTCACTTTAAGTAGATATGAGAGTCAATGACCATGTGCAGTTGTTTTTGCCCATTTGCCCTGGCCTAACCTAACCTAACCCATCCTCCCCCTCCATGGATACCTACTTACCTTGATCTGACAGTCACATTCTATGAATATTGTTTGCTACCAGCAGAGTAATTCTTACTATCCTAGCCGTTCTTTCGCATTACAGCCCCATAGACTGCTATGAGGCCAAGTTTTGAGGCCAGTGATAAAGGGAGATGTGGGAGACAGTCCAGTAGAAGTCTGTACTGCAGAGTCAGCATGTAAACAATCATCAGAGGCAGTGGCCATCAAATCTAAGTAGACATACTTTTGTAAAAGGGGAGGGTGGGATGATTTAGGTCACAGAAAAGAAGCAAAAAATATAACGGCACTTTGTCTGAAAGTGCACTTTTAAGGACATTAGAACATAAACCCCCTTGGGATGAAAATGATGTGAATAGCTTGTGCTTCTTTTTTGTTAAATGGCTGCGTCATGTTTTGACACTATAAAAATAAGTTAAATTAAAAAATCGTACTTCGATTATTTCTATTTTGAATACATCAGATTCTGCAGCTTTTTGCACTCCGATGTGTTTTGAGTCATTTAGGGATACACAGGGCACGCAGTGGATGACATCATTGCATGTCTGTGACCCTGTTTCCATGACAACCGTTCCTTTCTGCTTTCACTGACCTTACACCGTTTGGAAACACTGGGCACACACACAGCCGAAGAAGATGCTCTGAGCAATTAAATAAAAATAACTCCCAAATTCTGTGAGCTTCAAGTGCTGAAAATCTTTCTGTAGCAGTAGATGGTCTTAGCCTGCACATTGTTTGGTTTATGGTAGCTTTGCTGGTGGAAATGATGTGCTGAAGAGTTAATCAGATACTGAAGGGAATGAAGAATGTTCAGTGATCTGTGCGTGCAATTCCCAACTCTAGTTTTCTGCTTGATCGGGAGGCATCCTGTTCTTTCCCGCTGATATCCGATAAACATACACAGTTTTGTACTATATGCCATTATAGCAAATACCTAGCTGAGCTTTGTAGCCTGGCCTAGTGTTAACCCCCGCCCACACACCCAGGAGCCTTCAGCGAGCCTTTACGGTGCTCTCGAGATAAATTAATACGCTTCTGTGTCACACAATCTTGATGGTGCCCTACTTTCACATTTATTGCAGGTTTAGTAGTGATGCCACAGTTTTTCGTTTTAAAGGAACCTGTTGCCTACTGAAAAAAAGACATCAAGTTATCACCGGTTCATTTTTAGTCTGCCAAAAAAACACAAAACAAAGTATCAGAAAATAATAATCTTACACATATATACAGTATATATATATATTATAAAACTTGTCATCTTGAAGTGGAACTATAGACAAAATCAAAATGAAATATTTGATGCACTAGCATGAACACGGCAGTTTTTATTTTTCTGTGTTTCCGTGTAACATAGTTTTTTTACCTGTTGATCCTGTCAGTAGATCAATTATTTTTTCCTTCCTATAATAGGTTAACAAAACGTTTTGTTCCTAAAATGTAACTAAAGTGATGAATTTAAGGTGAAAACTACAGACAATAAACTTACCACCACTCTAATGGTATGGGTCCTTTGCCAGTGCCAGCATCACCTCCTTGGGTGCTGGTCTTCGATCATCTCTACTGACCGCCGCGTGATGACGCAACTTCTACATAATCCCAGCACACTGGGACCAGGTGGCAATATAATCCTGCCAGTAGATCAATTATTTTTTACTTCCTATAATAGGTTAACAAAACTTTTTTGTTCCTAAAAAGTAACCAAACTGATGGATTTAAGGTGGAACTGCAGGCAATAAACTTACAACCACTCTAACGGTATGGGTCCTTTGCCAGTGCCAGCATCACCTCCCCGGGTGCTGGTCTTCGATCATCTCTACTGACCGCCACGTGATGATGCAACTTCTGCATAATCACAGCACACTGGGACCAGCTGACAATATAATTCTGCCAGTAGATCAATTATTTTTTACTTCCTATAATAGGTTAACAAAACTTTTTTTCTCCTAAAATGTAACTAAAGTGATACATTTAAGGTGGAACTACAGACAATAAACTTACCACCATTCTAACAGTATGGGTCCAGTGCCAGCATCACCTCCCTGGGTGCTGGTCTTCGATCATCTCTACTGACCGCTGCATGATGATGCAAATTCTGCATAATCCCAGCACACTGGGACCAGCTGACAATATAATCCTGTCAGTAGATCAATTATTTTTTACTTTCTATAATAGGTTAACAAAACATTTTGTTCCTAAAAAGTAACCAAACTGATGGATTTAAGGTGGAACTGCAGGCAATAAACTTACCACCACTCTAACGGTATGGGTCCTTTGCCAGTGCCAGCATCACCTCCCCGAGTGCTGGTCTTCAATCATCTCTACTGACCGCTGCGTGATAACGCAACTTCTGCATAATCACAGCACACTGGGATCACGCTGGCAATATAAACTGAGCTGCGCATGCGCAGCTCCATTTACATGATGCAGAAGACTGCAAGTAGGCTAATATGCAGGTAGGTTAATTTTATTGCAGAAGGTCTCTTCTGTAATAATTGTTGAATTGAATTGTGGTTTTAGGTCTCTTTCACACGGGTGTTCCATGTGTCCGTTTTTTCATCTTTCCGTTTATGAATGAAAAACAGACACCCATGTATTTCTATGGACCAACGGATTTAAACAGATGATCATCCGTTTACATCGGTTTACATCCGTTAATGTCCATTTTTTTGAACGGAAGAAAAAAACATTAAAAAAACCAAGACGGATGTAAACAGATAAAAGAACTGATATAAACCAATGAAAAACAAATGTAAACGGATGAAAAAACCTGATCAAAAACTGATGAAAACTGATCCATTTTTTCTTTGAATAAACATGACTGAACTGATGAAAAAAACAGAATGACCGTGTGAAAGGACCCTTAGGCTACTTTCACACTGATCCACAGCAAAAACAGAGCAAAAATGCATAGGCGCTTTTGTCGCGCTTTCTGGGCTTTTTTAAAGGACACGAGACTTAGAAAATGCTTCAAAAAGGCTTCTCAGAGGCATTTTTGAGGCATTTTTAAGACGCTTTTCAGTCATTTTTCAAGCATTTTCCATTGATTTCAATGGGAAGAGGTGTTTTTGGGGCTTTTTTTTTTCCAACTTTCCAAACATGCCCCAAAGATGCTGCAAGCAGGAGTTTTTACACCGCACTGCAAGCGCAACACATCAGTGTGAAAACATACATAGATATACATTCACATACATAGGAAAGCAGTTTTCTTAAGCTTTTCATGCTCTTTTTTTAATACAAAAACACATGAAAACATCCTCAGTATAAAAGTAGCCTTAAAGTGGAAATAAACCCATATATTTAACGGTTTCAAAAAACAGTTACTTTCCCTGCATGCTGGGAATGCTAACTGTCACATTAGGTTATGTTGTCATCCAAACTGTCAAACCATCAAAAGGCAGGCATCATAACTAATCACATGTGTAGGAACATGGCAGTTGCAGATTAAACACAGGCTAAGATAGCAGTTTCCTTGGTTTAAAAAGGTAGGAGGGTTTAGTTTCACTTTAAAGCCTAACTAGGGCCACTGTATTTGATGCTATGAGCAGGATTTGGTTGGATGGTCAAATAATAATGCATATGGTGATCTTTAGGCATACCTGCTGTAAGTTTGATTTGTACTTTTTTGAAAGCTTGAAGAATGTAAGAGTTGTGGTTGATAGACATAGACTTTCCCAATACCAAATATCTCTTGGTTTTGTTGTATATTCTCAAGGTTCAACCAATGCCAGCCATACAGATGGCAATTTTATGGCAATTCAATCTTCTTTCATGTATAGGTCTAATGCAAAGATAAGGAGGACAGAAGAGAAGTTACTGCCAATAGCAACCAATCAGGTTAACTCATTGAAAACAAAACACTCCCTGTTTGGCAAGTGTCTTAAAAGTTGTTAAAAAGGTAGCTTGAATCCATGGATAAATAATACCATTGGTAGCACATAATAGAACTTTAGATTTTGACCCCACAGGATGGATACTGGATAATGAATAATGGACGAGTGGTAACCTATTTAATCTGGTTTAGTCCCCCTATTTCCCCTTTTTTTTTCTCCTGGAGACTCTTGTGTGCCCTTTATGATTCTTTACTTTACTACGTCTTAGTGTTGTTCTTCTTGATTATTTTTTACTGTTATTTTTATTGTTTTTATAATTTATACTTTACCAACAATATACATGAAAAATGTAGCCTATGATAGTTGAACACACT